CAGGTCGCTTTGCTCAGCAGGTCAGGATGATTTGCATCTGAGGACTACAATTATTGTTCTGTCCCTGGGATGAGGTGTTCCTTAAAAGGCAATATTGAATATTGATATTGATCGCCACTGAAGTTGAAATTATTGAATTATTACTATTTTATAAATACGTTCATAATTTATCTTTTGATTAACATAAATTTTGGTTTTGGCTCTACCAAGAATCAGACAAATTGGCATTTAACGTCTTCGATTTTTGTAATCCCCTTTAACTCTCTCTATTAAGCTTGAAAATATATATATTTTAGTTTGTGATTCATTAGTACGTTTTCCAATTAAGTTTTGTTGGAGACATAAAACCTCGTTACTCCTCACAATTATTCAGCGCTTCATCTCGACCGGCTGTTGAAGTTTTCCATGTGAGGCAGGTTGATCTGCACCTTCTGGTGTGGTCTTCAACAGCAGGTCAGAAGAGTCCTCCCCGAGGACTTCACCTCACAGGTCGGTTTGGTTTCGTTTGGTTTGGTTTGGGCCCGAGATTAAATACTTGTCCGTCTGTCCCTTGGCATTTGTATTGTTTCCGCGCCCTGGGACAACAATGAAGGCGATTAAAGGCGTTTTATCCTGCTAACCGCAGCGTGGTCTTCGGCGGACCATCCACGACTATCCATGTCCATCCTTTTGGCATGCGGTTAATCCTTTGGCTATGTCGCACGCGAGGGAAGGGCGGAAAAAGACGAAAGGACGCGGCTCGCAGGACGAATTGCGAATTACGGAGGGAGGAGGACCCCGCACAGGTACTCAAGGCATTACCCAAAACTTGTGCAGCTTACGCGAAAGTCCTTTGCCTGAATCCAGGCTACCAGCGAGCCCTAGTCGTGCACTGTCAGAAATATGTGTGTATAGGCCATAGAAAAATTAAAATTGTTTTCAGTTTTCTTTCTTTTAAAATTATTTTCAATTTTCTTTCCAATAAATAAATTTCACTCTCTTGTTACTTTTACAAAAATTAAAAAGTGAATCAAATTAAATGATTAATTCCGGTGTGAAAGGGTTTGTATATTTGTTTGTGGTATAAAGTACATATTTTATTTACATATTCTTTTAAAATAGTAATGTAATGTGTGTAATATATATTTTTTTGCAGTGCAGTCGGAGTCCTTGTCCCTCCAGTTGGTCCTTGCCACTTGGTCCTGCGTCGTGTGCGCGACCACTTTGCGGTTGCGAGCGCTTAACCGCATCATAAAACCATCAGCGAGCATAAAGGCAAGCCATTATAATCATCGGGCCACGCACAGCGAATAAACCTTGGGAATTAAGTCTGGGATCTCGGATCTCAGATCTCGAGTCTTGAGTCTCGAGAGCCTCCCCGCTAGGCTCTACGCCTACCTAGCCTTCTCCAAGATGCCCTGGTCCTGCGGCTCGCCTTAATGAAACTGGGAAAAAGGCAATGAATCGGCGGCAAATCCTCAAGAACTGGATCCGCTGCACTTGCCACACAACATACTAATCGAAAACCTCTCGCCCTTTCGGGCTTCTGGTGTTCTCTGGATCTCCACTGATCCTTTCACAGTTGTATTGACTAACATCTCAAGTCCAGCTCGGACTAGATCAGAATAATATAATATATCTTAACAAGAAACAACAGGATCTTAATGGACTTTAATTTTTTATAGGTCTACAATTAGGTTTAACTATATTGAGATGATGAGTGCACCTAATGAAGACTATCTCCAGGGGATACTCTATTCTAATTCAATTATTATTGACCGAACTCAAGCTCTTAGATTCAGATTATATATATACTCTTGTATTTGCCAAATTAACCTTGCACCGTGGACAATGGCATGTTAATTAGCGTAGGCCTTAGTACAATACAGTAAAATTATTGAAGCTATTCTCTGGCGCAACCCCCTCCCAGAAACGAACTCCTTGGACTTTGATGGCCTGTTGCCGGGCAACGAGCTTTCTTAATCAGGCTGCTTATGCCACGCCCCCATTGTCACCTTATTATACCACTGCCACGCCCTTTCGCAATTGCCCCGCAATTTGAGATCCCCGCTACAGCCAGAAAACCCCTTCTGAAGACAATAAAAGACAACGGCTGAGGCTAATGAAATTTACTGGCTCGAAAGAAAAACGAGAGATGTCATGCCGAGGTCCCTCCCCGAATTTGTAAATAAAAGTGTCATAAAATAAATTTAGGTACGAGTATTATTATTTAGGTTTTAAAATATAAAAAGACTTTTTTTAAATAAAAGAGAACCAAAAATATTTGTATTCAAATTCAATTTTTAGTAATATGTTCTTTATTTATTTTTCATTAAGTATTATAACTATTATTGTAGTACAGCTTGCTAAGTTTTTAGTACAACATAAATCGAAAGGAAAATTATTATAAAATAAACCTCTTACAAGTTTAATAATTTAGTCTTATATTGAATGTGAAAATTTCCTCAGTGCATACTGCATGCCACGCGCCTACGACAGAGGCTAATGAATGTGCTGGGCAATAAAAAATCAGCCAAACGAATTGTCGTTAATCAGCCAGCAAAAAAATGGGAAAAAATGGTGAAAAAATGGGGAGAAGAAATCTGGAAAAAGCTAAAAAAGCCAGGTAAGTTGCCTGCGTTTCTAGTTGGAAACCTGAACACCCACACATAAGATAACCGCCACCCCCCTTCCCCCACAGTTTTGGCCCACGGAGCAATCAAAACTGTCGCCTATGAAAAATGTTTTGGGGCAAATGGCGGCGAACTTTTCGCTGCTGGCGACTTGCAAAAAAAGGGAGAAACAAAAAATGATGGCAAAAGTACACCCACGTGTACATATGTGCGTTCAACTTTGAGTATTTTCATTTTCAAATCGGTTTTTTACTTGCTTTGCCTTTTTGCTTGCCTTTTTTCAGGGGGTTTGCTCGTTGACGTTGAGAAACTACGAATTGAAAGATACAATTTCAGGATTTTCAGAGACGGAATAGCTAAATCCAAGCTGGTGAAATTTCAAGTATACAATACACAGACTTTTAATAGGTCAGGAAAATTAGGATAACTATATTTCTAAGTATGTTACACTTTTGGTTTTGGTACATTTGCTTTATCGTTGTTTTAAACAGTTATTTCGAATGAATTTAATATTCCCATTTTTCTCTAATTTTGCGTATATGGTTATTTTCGAATTTTAAATTTAAATTGAAATGTAAGATAAATCCTTTTGTAATCTACTTTTAAACTAAACATTTTCCAAGTGTATTTCGAATCATTGCCGTAATTTAATTTAAAATCCTATTTTTGGGTTAAACTTGAACATTTCCATTTCCATGCACTTTCTGCTTCTCTGAGTTTTACTCCAAAAACATTTTAAAGTTCCCCGCAACATTTTTAATGAAAATTAGTTTTTGTTTTATTTTATTCCTGGTGCTCCACAAATTTTCCAGACTTTCCTGTTGTTGCTGGAGACCCAATTTGTGCGCTAAGCCCTCCCCTCGAAGGGTAATTGCCTCATGTTTCATCTACACATCAATTAGCCGCAACAATTTAATTTGCCGCCTGGAAATGGGAAAAGTGCGAGAGCAGGAAAAAACACAGCGTTTTTGACAAGAAAAATCCATAAAATATTTGTGCAACATTTTCTCGCCCCCCATTCGCTGTGGGTGCGAGCGAGAGGGCGAAACAACTGTCGTCAGCTATTTCAAATTGTCATAAAAATTTGATAAGGTTTTTCCGCTGGTCCCCTAAATTTCCCAACCCCCCCGAGTTTTTTTCCTGCGTCAGCTACACAGCAAAAACATAAAAAAAGTTAGGACAAAAAAGTTTTGGTCGCTTGACTATATCATTTGCAGTCAGGCTGCTAGGAGGGATACACTTTTAAATAGCTACACCTTTAGATACATTTGGAAATAGATAAGTATGCTATTATGTTAAATGAACTTGGTCATGAAGTAGTTTATAGTTGTAGCTCTTCAAAGAAATGTATTTTAATTTGAAGGATAAGTGATAATATCGTTAATAATTCTACCAATATTTTATTATGACATGATAAAACCTAAATAGTAAGTGATTTCTGAGTTCTTAGCTCGCGAAAATCAAATCCACTTTGAGTTTCGAACCTTTTCGCCCTGTTTTGCGTAAATGATAACTGAACAATGGGGCCGCCCATTGGGGAGAAAGAGAGGGGGCGTGTTAAGAGCGAATGGCTGCCTCTCCCTCCCGTTATGTCTCTTTCCCTCTTCCACGTTAGTTGTTGTATGCGTTGTGTGTGCATGACAATTTGCGACGTAGAAGAAGGTACAGAAGAAGCAGCAGCAGCAAAAGTAGCGGTACTGACCAGCGTCCTTTAGGCGCCCGTCGCCACCCCTTTCCTTATCTTTCGCTGTTAGCTAACAAATTTTTGCGTTGTTTTCGCTGCCTTGTCGTTTTCATTAAAATTTCATTGCTGCCGCGCAAAAATACGAAGGACCTTCTTTTCCCCCCCCTTTTTATGACTATGTATTTTTTTCTCCACTTTTTTCCTTTTCTGTAGCAACAACAAAGTTGTTGAACTGAATTTTTTTGGGGTGTGGTTCCACACTCAAACGCACACACACAGGCCCACACACATTAGCCAGGCCAGCAACAACACAGAGGTAAATACAGCTGCTCGGAAAACGGTACAAGGAGCAGTTGTCTCGCTCTCACAAATAGAGATGGCAGGGCGCGAGAGACAGAGATGGCGGGAGAGTAAATGACTGGAACGGAAACGAGTACGGCGGCGTCACTCTAACACACAGATGAGAGCTGGGCAGCCATTGCTAAAAGCAGAGTCTCACTCACTCTCTCTCTCGCTGCCTCTCTATCGCTCTCACCACCAGTTGTTTGTTTGTTGTTTTTTTCTGCTTCTTTCTTTCTTTCTGTTTTTTTTTGGCAGACTCTGGTCGAACGACTTTTGCTCTGCCCGCCCGCTGCCCGTTGCTCGCTGCGCTGCTGCCGCCGCTGCCGTCGTCCGTGGAAGGTGTACCGCAATTCATTTCCAGAGTAACTTTCGTGCCGCTCGGGTTGTTTTTGTGCGTCGTCCGTCGCCCAGTTGCTCAGTTGCTCATTCGCCCCGTTCGCCGCTCGTTCGATCGCTCTCGCTACTCGCCGCGTTCGCCGATAAGCAAAAAGCCAATAACAACAATCAATTCGCCGTCGCCAAAGCAAACAAACAAAAATCAAAATTCAAAACAAAAAGCTACAGCTATAGCTGAAGCTATAGAAAAACCACAAGTCGGAGAGAAATACTAAGTAGCAAGGGATATATTCAGCGGAGATCTCTCGGATATATCCAAGTGCCAGTGACGAGTATCTGTTTTTTTACCGTGTTGCCAGTGCCAAACAATAAACATCGCATAAAAACAAACATCTCTGGAATACAATATATATATGGCATATATTATATACACCCATGCCATAACCATATAGTAGCTGGATCTGAAAACAAGTCGCCATTGGAATACAGCACACCGTTTTGCTTCTAGTTTTCTTTGTGTTTTTTTTTCGGTGAGTGAAATCCGCCGATATCGAGAATTCGGTAGAAATCTTTATATCCAGCCAGGATCGTGGAGCGGAGAGATTAGCACGGATTAAATTTGGGATTAACTGGGGAAATCGGTAGACCTAAGTAGTCCATGGGAGCGTCAAAGGGCGAGAATATTTTTAAGATTTTGGTTATGAATAATCTCCAAGGGTTATTTGATTTTGCCCTAGATCTCAATGGGATTTTTAAGCTTCATTATTCACCCCATCTTTCGTATATCCCATTAACTCACATAGTTTCAACTTCTTTTGATCTTAAATAATACGGAAAGACCAAGCAATCAGCAGGTGTTAAGTTAATTATTTTGTAATATTATAATCATATTTTTTTAAGTCATTCTATTTATTTTTGTCACATATACTTAGTTCAACAATTTAAGTTATCAGTATTAAATCTATGTTATAAATGATCTATGAGTTCAATGACTATGACAGCTTTTTAAGCTTACTTTACTTTTTATAACTCACTCAAATGTTGGTCCTTTTTTTGAGTATTTTTAGGTTGGATTGTTAATTTTCAAGTATCTTAAAGCTCGATCATGTATATAATCTCCTTTAAAGATTTTCTAATACTCAGTTTAAATTCTTGAACCTAATAAAAATGTATTTTTCATGATGTTATAATATACACCTAAGATTAAAGTGTTAATAGTAAGGTTCTATGTGTATGCTTTTTTTATTTCTGAACAAGACTTTTTTTGTTTCCAAGGTAATTTTTACTTTTTCACTGAAACGCTCAAGTCTTTCGAGCTTTATAAAGTCATGAAAACATAAAAAGTTATTTAGAAGCTTAGCAAGGTCTTTCAGATATGTATTATTTTTAGCTGATAATATTTCCCCTACGTTTAACAAGAGAATGCATAAAAGCTATCTGCTTTTAATCACTTTGAATATCCCTTTATCTGGCGTTAGATTCAATGGGACTTAAGAATATTAGGTTGGAATACAATTCATTGAGACTGGGGACTCCCTGGCCCAACACTAAAATTATCTTTTCCATGATTGTAACTTAAGGCTTTCAACTTTGTTTTTGTTACTCCAACTCTTCGTAATATCGTGAAGCCTTATAGACCGGGCTTTGTTCAGGAAATTCCGCCTATGACTAATGTCCGCATCGTAATGTGAGAAAATGCGAGACGCGGGAGATTCGTTGTGATTTTCATAATTTTAATGGGCATATTAAGGCCGCCTCCCTTAATTAGGCAAAACAGAAAAAAAGCAAAGCAAGCCCGACGAAAATCGATACGAGAAATGTGATATAGAAAAAGGCTACCAAATGATAGAGGCAACGGAGAATTAACCCTAAGAAAACCAATATTAGACACAATAGAAGCCAGCCGACGGACCCGTTCAGGTCACATTATTCACACATATTCCCCACTTCCCCCACTTCCCGATCTCAGCGATCTCAACGATCGGATCGTCTAATTTCAAAGCGGCGGCTATAAATTATAATATCTGAATAAAACGTTGACTCCTCGCTGGCTACTTTGTTGTTCTGTTTTATTATTAATTTGCATATGGTTTTTTCTAACAAAAAGCAACAGAAATTAATATGCAAGTCGATACATTTTTCTCCCTGCCGGTGATCTTTCTCCGTTCGAATTGGAGTTGAGCTCGGATTCGGGTTTCGAGCGTGGAGTTTGTTGGGATCTCTTGGGATCTATTGGCTCTCACCCACGCCTGATTGTTGGCCCAGCCTAGATCCCCCCAATACCTCAATATCTCAATGATTCAATGTACCAATGTCCCAATGCCAATTCATTCATTCACAACATCCGCCCAGCGTTTTCGATTGTGAATTGAAAGTCGTCGAGATCGCGTCGCGACACATGTGATACCTTATCGCGGATATCCATACACTTCAGCGAGTAAGTGAATTTCGCCCTAGGCTGCACTGGAAGAAAATGTTGTTTGACTTGTAGTTCTATTAAAGAAAGCCTCAGGAGATGCTTTTCAAAACCTTAAGACAAAAAAGCTTAGAAGTGTAAATAAAATATCTTAAAAATCCTCACAGTTCAGAAATAATAAAGTCGAAATACAAGCAGTTCTTAAACTATAACCAATTCCATGGTTTTTATTTGGAAACCTTTTCGCTCACTGTGGAACGGTATCCATTGTTCCGCTTCCCTAGCACGCTCCAATCTTTCGGTTCGACTTCGACTTTGACTTGGACGCGAACTCCCACACACTTGGCATGGGTATAGATAGGTACACATATATCTGCTCGTACCTGGGAGATCGGGTGTTGCCTTTTTTTGTCGTCATCTTTTGTCAATCTCTTTTGGCGTCGCCTCGCCTTAAGTGAGGTTTCATTTCGTTTCATTTTATTTAATTTCATCTCGACTGGGCTTGTGGCGTTTCTGGGACTCACTTACTTCTCTTTTCCTACCAATTATTTGTATTATTAATTTTTATCTCACTTCACTCTTTGCTCATTACGCGATACTGGCGGTGTTGTTGCCGTTCGCTTCTCAAATTTCGTTGACAAAGCCATTTAAATAGAAATCACTCAGACGGAGGTTTTTTTAGGTTCCATTTCCAGTTTCGACTTATCAAGATCACATTGACAATGCGTCAAATAATAAGTTTTCTAGCCGCTGTTGCTTTTGTGGCTGTTGTTGCTGTTGTTATTGTGACCCGACTGGATCTCTTTGCTCTATTAGTCTATTATTGGTTTTTTTTTTGGTCCACTGTCCATGATGCAATCATTTGTACACGGCAACAACCATAACCAAAACAACAAGCGCAATTCATTCAACATATTTTTCCATACAGATCTGTGGGTATTTTTTGTAATTTTTATATTTTTTTTGAATGGTATTGTGGGAAGAGGCAGAAAAAATGATGTAAAGCCAAAAATTTGTTGAATTAAAATCAATTTTATGGAAATTTATTGGGTTTTGTTTGGTAGTAACTTGGCTTGTGAATGAGAAGTTGGACAATAAAGTTATATAAAAGATCCTAATGCACATATCTTCGCTTAAATATTAGACTTTGTACACCACTTATTAGTACCTTAAGCTTTAGGTATACTATAATATTTATTATTTTCAAATTGACAAATGAAAGTAAAGACATCAAAACGAACTATTTTATATTTCCCAGAAATCCCCCATTAGTTCGTCTAAAAAGTCAGATTGTACCATTAAAAATTCATATTTTCTTCGTTCAACTTGATTTATTTTTAGTTTATCTCATAGCCCTGTCAAATCGTTAATTGTTGGCTTAATGGGAATGCAATTAAGAGCCGCAAAAGCAATTTGCTTACTAATAAATTGAGCGTTGCTTTATGTCCACCATATATTTAAGTTTTAAGGGAGTTTTTATTTCTTTTCTTGACAAGTCGGGGATTATGCTTAATCTATAGACGATAGATTACTTTGATTGAGCAATCTGCCTCGTATCTGCTAATTACACCAACGTCTGCTCAAGTGTCAACTCGATTAGGTAAATAATAAATAATTTGCCGTGCGATAAGCGAAAATACAGAAACTAATTAAAAAATGTGGGCAAGTGGAAAAGTTGTCGCAGCGGCACAAACAGTTAGTCGTCTGATTTCTAGGCCATATATACGTACATACGTGTAGATATAGTCGGAGGCTAGATTTTAATGCTTCTTAAACTTGTCAAATCTTCACACTTTTTCAATTATTTGGCACGCTGCTTAATTAAACTTCAGCCAACGTCAACGTCAAAGTCAAAAGTCAGTAGCTGGATTCCACATCAACATCCATATCCACATTCAGATCCACATCCACATCCACAAAATCATCATAATCGCAAGGTTGCACTTTTCACCAAAGCCAGCTGAAATAAATAAATGTAATTTTATGCGAAAATTGCAAATTTAAATGTCAAAATGCATTTGCGTAGAAATGGCAGCAAGTCTAGCTGCGAGTTTTCCAACCCGTTTTTTATTTTTCTTTCTTTTTTTTGGGACGTGACTGCCGCAATTGCTACCTTATACTTGAGGCACTTCTCGTTCTTTGTTGCATTTATTAAGTTGCATTATTGCCAAAGAGACAGACAGGCAGACAGGCTTATTATGCTAGGCCAGCGTCAGAAACAGAAACTCGGACTTCGGGTTTTCGGACCGTCTAGCTCCATGCCAAGCCAACCCATATATACCACACCATGTGTCTGCATATACATACATATATACCATATTCCAGTAGCCACGGCTCAATGTAAATGAGCCTGAGAAATGCATTTTTCATCTGCCACCTCTCTCCTTCCCCGTGTTTCCATCTCTTTCGCTGCCATAACGCGTTATCCATATAGACGAATGTAAAGCTTACACTGGTTAGCAGGGGCTACGAATAGAAAACTTTGGATGCATCTTTGGATGGTCAAAATAGTGCTGAGAACTTCGGCCTCTTATTGTTTAGTTCCTTATGGCTTACGTTACTTAGGAAGAACTCTTTAAGACCTTATTATAATATTGTCCCATCATGTAGTCTTAGTTCTTAGGAAATCGTTTGAATAATAATATTTGAATTGAATAATAATAATTCATAATATAAATAACGAAAGCTTAAAAAAGCGACGGCAAATAATCGTAGCAAAATCAGATGTATTTTATATAGGATTCGGACATACTACTTTTAGACAAAGACAATAATTTGGAACTATCTATTGTTCAGTACTTGGGTAAATATAACATTAAATAGAGTATGCAATACCGTAGCAGCGATTCCACCTGCCTACTGGTCAGTGTGGAAAATGTGCAATATGCCCGGGCATATTAAGTTGTTATGGGGCTTGTTAAGACGGCTAATAGCCCCGACTACCAGAAAGCAGCGACTACTGCGATCAGGGGACTGACAGGTTAGCACTCCTGACAGCTGCACACAGTGGCCCCAAATGACTGACTAACTTAAATATAGAAATAGCCGTGGATACACGGCATTTAATATTAGTCAGAGCCAAATGCGTACCAAAAGTTATGCAAAGACGGACCATTAATCATGTGGCAAACAGAGACGGGATCGGTGATCCGAAATCCGAGAGACCAGATCCATTCCCATGGCCCAGATGAACAGTAGCCAAGTGGCAGTTCGATTTCTTTTCGACTCTTCGACTTTCCCAGGGACCGTCAGTCCGCAGCATCATCAGCGAACCAAAACACTTGGATGTGCGGGTTTATATAGGGTTTGGTTCCCCTCCTCCAAAAGTCGAAAACCCCAAAAATCTTACGGTAGCTGTGGCATCTTCAATACGCTGCTGGATTTCTGGGCTTTATTTTGTTTTTTTTTTTGCTCCCGGCTGTTTATCCAACAAATATTATTTTGACCGTAATTACGCGCTGACAATCGAATTGAAATGTTGTTCGGCGGAAATTGAAATCGAGAGTGAAAATCATAGAGGCGTCTAAAAAACGCCATCTCAGAATCGGGCAAATCAGAAAAGGAAACCAAAAATATTAGAAAAACCAAAAAATCAGAAATTGCCGAATGGAATTTATAATGAAAGTGTCTGCCGTTCGTACGTGATATATGTCCAGCCCAACTGATTTTGTCTCGACTCGTTTCGAACTCACAATGGATCTCTCTCTCTAAAAAAAAGAGACAGGGGGCCTCTTGCTTTGTTTTTTTTTTATTTTGCTCTTTTTGCCATTTACCATGATTTTTCATAATCAGCGAGGGCGGAAGGCCGAAGGGGGCAAAAATGTCTAGAAAATCACGTAGAGCCATGGATCGCCATTCCATTCCCGGGTTGTCTTCGATAGTGTGTCACACTCGCTTTTTGACAGATGCTGAGAGTTTGTCGAGGTCTTTTTACAGCTACATTTTGGTGATCGTTTGTGAAATTTTGGTATTTAGGAACTTTGATTAGGATGGAAAAGAAACAAGTTAAATTTTATAATAACCCCAAAAGATATTAAAAATACAAGCCTAATGAAGCGCTCATATCTTTTTAAATGATTTACTTCGGCATTTTAAGCTAGTAGGAGTGCATCTCTGGATTATCCTCAATAAACTTTCCAACTTCACCCCGGCCCACTATCAATTACAGCTTTGGCTTTGATCAGCTTCCGTTTAGTTGGATTCTAAAGATACCGAACCGAACCGAACTGAACCGAACCGAGCTGAACCCTCCCTGGATGTTTCAAAGGAGAATCGAATCCTTTAGCGCTATATAGAGTATAGTTGCCCGTCTCTTTTTGCCTCCCCGGCCCTCGAATTGAAGCCAGATGTGTTATTAATTTGCGTGTGCGCGTGAGCATGTAATTTGGAAATGCGGAGGGCAGGAGGAACAGGGTCTGTCATCGCACATCGGGGATCGGGAAACGGGGATCGGGCACCATATCGGGTGCTATAACAGGGTCGGGCTGGGGTTTTGGTTTTGGTTTCTGTTTCGGTTTCGGTGCACACACGCTTTTCGTCCCTCGTATTTCGGTATTTTCACATTTCGGGATCTGAATCTGTTTTTGCGGCTGCATTTTAAGGCCGGAATGCATTGAACCATGAAAACGACATGACAAAACAAAACAAACTCTACATATACTCATCGTATGTGGATAAATGCACATATCTCTTCACGGCGATGTGACAAATAGTTCCCTTTTCAATATTCGGTTTTCAATTCCAAAACAAAGCGAGGTGTTCGTGCTAATTCCGCAATTACAACCTCACCGTTTGTCTCCTCTTTTCAACTATTCGGTCGAGACTTTCTTTCCCTACATTACCGGCAATAGTGCTAATTTTTTTCGCACGAAAACTGCCGAATGCATATAGAAAATATCACAAAGGGAATTTAATCCAGGCTAGTTGTCTCTTTCTGGGCTTAATCTTAATGCCCATTGTCCTGGATCAGGCGGTGTCCTCCCCATAGACATGGTGTGTGTGCTAGTAAGTGTCTGAAATAATCCTGCGGCTAAGCGCAGATCAAAGATCTTTAAACCGCAAGATAAGCCCGAACGCGACTTCGGATCGGTTCGGTATTCGGTAACTGGGTAGCTCGGGACTCGTAACTAGGGACTCGGGACTCTGGACCCCGTCTTGGAGGCGGTTGGGTAATCTTCCCGGTCCCGATTGTGTGCGTTGCCCAGATTAGAAGATTTTACATCATAGACAAACCTCGGGATTAGGCCCAAGGAAAGGAACGATCGTGAGTGGGCGATAGAGATAGAGATAGATAGAGCTGGCAGATAGAGATGGAGGCACCCAAGACCTGCCTTATAAGTCGCGGTTCTGTTTGGTCTTGGTCATAGAATGTAATTGGAACTCGTGGCAAGAGCTTAACCCACAAGAAACAAACAACCTATCCATCGTCTTTGCGGAATAGCCCAGTGCATTTCACAGATAATTGGCGAATTGTGAGTGATTTGGTGGCATTAAGTGGTTTTCGCACGGATTTTCATATCTCCTCGGGCTCTTTTGCCGAGTAATAATTGTTTGCAATGGTTTGGAAGGTCCGTTATCCTATCTTTCTTTGCTAGAAAGATATGGGGTTTCAAATACAACCGATAGAGTGATAAGTAAATTCAAATAATACTTGTATAATGGACAAGTGGTTTTATAAATTTGCAATATAAAGCTTTGGGATCAAGAAGGCTATGAGTTTGGACTCCAGTTGGATTATCCATGAGACTTATAACTTGCTCAGTTGAGACTAGCTAGTAATCTAAGGGATATGATTTAAGAACTTTAAAAAAACTGTTAATAATAGCTTACGATACCTTGCAGATCCGATTGGAAGCAGCCCTGTGAGCGGACCAAGCAGCGATCATTGATTATCAGAGCGAACTGGTGGACCGATCCAGCCATATAGACACGGATTATAGGAGCCTGAGGCCAGTGGAGACACACAGCTTCAACGTGGCGCTGCACTCGACCGAGGCCTTGATGGCGGCGGGCTTCCTGAAGTCGGGCGACCTGGGCCCTCATCCGCACAGCTACGGGGGTCCGCATCCGCACCACTCGGTGCCCCACGGACCCCTTCCGCCGGGCATGCCCATGCCCTCGCTGGGGCCCTTCGGCCTCCCACACGGACTTGAGGCCGTCGGGTTCTCCCAAGGTATGTGGGGTAAATATCGCATCGACAATTTTGGTATATGTGCACATGTGTGCACTTCACGTAAGCAAACCAGATCGCTCAAATGTGCTGAAAGTTGAGAAAACAAAATGCTACACTGTGGGGAAATCTCGCAACGCTGACTTGGACAGCACTCTTAAGCTTTTTATCTATATAAAACCCTTTGGTGACCGCTCAATTATATTAGGTCCAATCTCTCAAAATGATGAGGCCAGTCATTTGGCCAAATAGTAATGGTGATTATAGGGTTTAATCCTACTTTCGGTAGTCTATATTTTTTCCACTGTATAGTCGGCTTCCTCTTCGTTTTGCTGCCTTTCAATGTCAGTTCGCATCGATATTGCATCATTATCAGTTAAATTGTCAAAATGAATAATGAGCTTCGGGCAGTTTCGGAGACTTCGGTCGCCTCTCCGACTTTATCTTCAAGTTTTCAGCTTTAGATTCAGCTTTTCGGTTCCAGTTTTCGCTTAGCTCGGTGACGCTGCAAATGACAAACAAAACCTGACAAAAATCACAAAAAATTGGCTACAAAATGCCAACAAAAGACTCTGCCAAAGCAACACACACAAAATTATTGAACAGCCGAAATACAAAACGAAGAAAAACCCAAATCATAAAAAAGAAAAATGATAAAAAGAAAACAACAATTTCATACTTGTAATCAATTTTTGTGTTTATTTTTGCCTTGTCGTTGTATATTTTTGTTGGGCCTTACTTTTGTAATAAGCCAAGTAATTGACAGAATTTTAACTTGTTATGTAAGTTAGTTGTGGCCACAATACAGATATAATATGATGAAAGAGGCCATAACGAAGGGAACAATTAATGATAGGAAAGCCAGTATCAGGCGACTTAAGGTGGAAAAAAATATATTTTTAATAAAAGCATTAGTTGGAAATTAAGTAACAAATTAACTAATAATACAAATATTTTTCGTTTCCAAAAAGTTCCATTCGCACCTTGAGCTATATTGAAAAAAAGCTACCTTCCAGGAAACCCCATAAACTAGCCATAAAAATATTTGAATGAAGTCAAAAATGTATAGGTGCAGTTAATTAATCTGCAAGCTCTCTCCATAAAGTCAAGGCGAAAATCAAAATATTAAGTATCCCAAAAGAAACACAAAAATTGCAATTAATTGTGTGGATATAAAGAAATAAACCAAGTTGGCAACCATTTTGAAAGCGAAAACGAAACTGAAGCTGAAACAGAAACAGAAACGAAATGCGGCAGCTGCAAAGTGAAGTAAAGTTTTTTATTCAATTTATAAATTCATGACCAAAATGACTAACTCATTAATTTTTGATAGAGCCAGAAAGGGAGGGCGATAGTGGCGGGGTGTATTTGGGACAAAGAGAAGTATAATATAAATATAGGGAGTGGGCCGATCCGATGGTGAAGCCTCGATCTCGGTGTGTTCGGGGTATTCGAGTTTTCGAATTTTCGAGGGTGAGCGACAGAGAGAGCTGACAAAGCAAACAATGCGGCGGCTTAGTACGCACACACAGATACAGCACACAGATACGACACACACACATCTCCACTGTATATGCAGGGATATATTATGTACTGGAAAAAGGGAGTCGAGTTTTTGGGGCGGCTGCTGCACGGGGGTTGGTTCCTTGCCAGTCCTTTTTATTCTTTTAGGGGTTGGCCGCCGCATTTTTCGGGGGTTGCTACATTGCCACATCACACACACACACGCACACACATACCCACACTCGAGCACACACAGAGGCTGGGGCAGCAAAATAACGGTTACTGCCGAAAATATTACTGGGAAAAGTCACGACACCCATGCGTATACTTAATCTGTCCCTGGCCCCAAAACGAAACTTTCAGCACATTCGGTTAGGCACTCACTTCTCTCTGGGAACTCTAAATCTTATAATATTTTTCCCTTTTTTTTCTCCCCTTTATGCGATCTATGCTATCCAGGCGTCAACACACGAAAACAGCGTCGCGAACGCACCACATTTACACGCGCCCAATTGGACGTTTTGGAAGCCCTGTTTGGCAAGACCCGTTACCCGGACATTTTCATGCGCGAAGAAGTGGCCCTCAAGATCAATCTGCCCGAATCCAGAGTACAGGTAAGCATCTCTCGTAACTCGGTCATCTGACTGGCCATCGATATGAAATTTGGCAGAAACATAGTTGGTTATTTGAGGAAGAATTGTGCGCGGCTTGGCCAAAATTGATAGAGTAGTGCTCTAGGTAGAAGCCAATTTTGGCTTATTATGTTCAGTGTCCAGAGTGTCAGCTACTTAAAAAAAAATGTAACTGGATTCTTCATTTTCATCGAATACTCCAGATTACTCTCCTTTTATTACTCCAAAAAAGTGCGTTAATTTTTGGCCGTATCGCATTTTCCTTTAACTTCTCCCGCCCCAAAGGCAAATACAAACACTTGCTGACCTGCTAACTCGTTTTCCGACTTCGAAAGCCTCAGTGCCTTGGGCACACGCCCATTACCCGCACATGTGAGCTATTTAACCCACAAAAACTCGCACAGATATACTGGTATAGTTGATTTAATTAGGCGAAATGCCCTGGAAAAGTGCCAGCAAATGCGGCGGAGGCCCAAGGAAATCCATAAAACAAACAAATTACAACAGCTCGGAACAGATTGTCGAGATTGGCGAGGATATTCGTGGGATGGCCAGGATGTGGGGGGTGGTTCCCGTAAACACATAAGGAGCGCACAGATTTGATGACTTTCAATGCAAATAGACAGACAGTTCGTGCATCCGTTTCCATTTCGAGAAGTCTTTCCCCCTTCGAAGGAAAATAGATTTCTGTATTTGCCGAAAGTATTTGCGGGGTATGACAAGTCACCCCTCCAGGATATTGGATTGGAAATAAAAGCGTAACTGAAGTTTGCTCAAGGCATTAGTCGAGCATAATTTGCGCTAATTTCTAGCGTCAGCCAGATGAGCACGATGACAGCAAATTGTACAACTCAATTTTGGGTGAATAAGGACGTTCGGCTCGGGGTTCGGGATCTCTTTATTTAACCGTCTGTTTGTTTAGGTGTCCACGATCGATCGGGCCTAAACAAACGGAATTCCCTAGCGCCGTTGGCCCAAAAACTGCCAAATGGCCCAAAACGATCTCGATCTAAGTTTCCGGTTGCTGAAAAAACTGTCATCTCCTTTGGTAATTTCTTGGGCAAACACAGCCGCAACATGGATCGTTTTGGAAACTGCAATGAAAACACACACAGACGAGCCATAAAAATAAACATTATTGGCAACTACATTGATCTATCGATTTGTTTGCTTTGCTTTTGCTTCTGCTTCTGTTATGATTTGCTTGCCCTCGCTTTGTTTGCCACTGCCTTTGTCCGTGTAATTTAAGGACGTGACATTGCAGGGTCAAAAGCAGCAATTGCCAAATAATCGTGTAGCTCAAAATAAAAACTAGGAAAGAAAAAATATATAATATATATATAACAGAACTAGTTATACAGATAACTTAAAATAACTCGAGAAGCATGCTCTAAAGAAACCTCAAAGGACTCCAACAAGTAGTTAGGGACCTTAGGAGTATGCTGACTTTAAAAAGACGTAAAAAATAGTGCGTTTTAAGGTATACGGAATAGTTTAAGAAATTACGAACTAGCAGGCTTTAAGATACAGTCGCATAACTAAAGAGAGAACAAGTCGACCTTAAAGACCCGGTCAGGAAAAAGCAACAGCGATTAAGGAAGCCCCTGCAGTGGTCGTCTTGGTCGGCTTGGAATGAAAAACGACACGTTCTATTTTCAAGGGGAATGGGAACGGGAAAAGCAGAATGAATGGTGAATGGTAACGAAAGAAAGAACCAGAGTTCTGAGTTCGGAGTTCTGCAGCAAGGACACCTTGCACATGTCCCATGAATCGACTTCTTTTTTCATTGTTTCCCTTTCAAAGTTACGTTTTTTACACAATTGATTCCAGTAATGCACACCGGGGAAACGAGAGAGATATACACACATAGGAAATGAATACTTAGGAGCATTGGGGGTGTAGCTGGGAATTGACATTTGTATAGATTTTCCTTTTCCACATGTCTCTTCTTGTATAATTTCGAGCGTTGTTGCCTGCCTTTAAATTGTTTTTAGAACCGGACAAGCACAGTGGTTTATGGTCAAAAGTTAACTTATGAAGAAAATCAAAGTGGATCAAAATGGATTGAAAAGTCATGATAAAGTCGGTAAAGAAATGCAAGTCTTAATCTTAATAAAGTGTTTTTATATGTAATTCTCTTAATATATTCCTCTATTATTATAAACTCCAACTTGAGTGAAAAACGTAGCCCCACTTTGACCCACTGTACCTGTCTTCGGAGTGACGCAACATGTCAATGCATCCACTCTTATAAAAACACACCCACACTTCTCCACGTATCAGATTACAGCCAGGAAAACTAGGAAAAACCTTACAAAACCCCAACCGACAGAAACTGCGAATGGAAATGCCGGGGAAAAGCGGGAAAGAGGAGCAGCAGAAGCAAACACGATTCGTTTGCATGTTACAAGGCGTCTGGCTTTTGGTTTTCATTTTGGCTTTTGGTTTGGGCACTGGGGATTGGGGATCCGATGGTCTGGGGTCTTGGGACTGGGGCTTGGGGTTCCGTGTTTTGCACTGCAAGGAAGCCAAGCAACTCAATTAGCCCGGGGAAAAACTAGACTGCCGACGGGTCGGGGAAACAGTTTTCAGCTGAATGGTTTGACTTGGACTTACGTACGTGAAAGAGTAGCTTAGAAAAACTTGAAAAATACATGGAGGGGCTATATCGAAGAAACAATATATGTAGATAAGGACAACACGAAAAACATCTTTATAAATAGTACGATATGGAGTTAATGCACAAGGCTACCCATATTAAGAGGTCACAGAGCAATAGACCACCTCCAAAGGATCATATCATCTTTATAATATAACCATTGAGTATTCGCAGCAGGGTCCCCATTGAAAGGTTACCACGTTGTCACTGGAACAGAAAATCATATCACATAAATAATCATTATCGCCAACGGAGGAAGAGGGCGAGAATCTGAAACGGAATCAGAAAAGGAATCAGAAACAGAATCAGAATCGGAATCAAAATCAGAATCAGAATCCCCGCTACGAAATTGGAGTCATAATCAGGAGGCCGGGGCTTAGGCCTGGTAAATATTAATTGAATGATAGGCATCTTTATGGCCCAGTAGCGAGATTCAGAGATCCAGTTTCCGGGGTGGGTCCGGCCTCTGTCTCTTTCGCTCGATTCCAAGTGAGAGGGCGTTGATTGCAACCAATACAAATAATGTAATAATTTTACGCAGCTTATCTGCACCAGAACAGAGCAAACATTTACGCCCAAATGTTTTCATTCGCCGTTTGAGGGTGCGGATCGGGTTTTTTGCTCGGTGGTCGGATGGCTGCCATCGCTGGCAGTCATAAATCACGGGGAAACTGGGAGTCAGGGAGACTGGGAAACTGGGAAACCAGCAGTAGGAACAGCAACATCCCAATCCCAGTCATCCAGGCACCCCTATAACAACCACTCTCACAGATCTTGTGCACTAAAAGAAAATCATGGGAAATAAAAATAATAGTTATAGCAAACAAATAATCTTACTTGGAATTTCGAGCATCATCTAAACTTTCTAGAACTCCACTCATTCTTTAAATAGATATCTCTGTACTTCAATTTAAAATAAAAACAATCAAGTAACGGGATAGCCCTTTTATAAACATTGCGACTACTGACCATACTAATTAGGTCATTCGAATGTTTAGGGCCTTCAAGATATTGTTAGTCTACCAGTTTTAGATTGGATAAATTATATTTCAGATCAGATTTCTGCAAGCCCCATAGCATATCCATAGCACATCATATATCTGATAGGTTTATTTCTTAGACTTATAGATTTTTTGCATGGTGTAGCTCTACCCCTTATCTGGGCTCCCTCCCCTTCTCTTTGTCACCTCGTCTTTCGATATTTTTGCCTCGTTTTCAGCTGTTCTTCGTCGGGGGTTGGAAAACGAGAAAGAGATGGCAACAATTGGTGCGACAGAGAGGGAGCGAGGGAGCGCACCTAAACTTAGCCAACTCTTTTTCTATACGTTTTCCATTTTCCCTTTTTTTCTTTTGTTGCCAAAGGATTTGTCTGCTGCGAAAAATGAGGGGAGCGAGAAGAAGAGCCGCACAAGGGAAAACTTTGCCGCACAGCTGTTTTATAAAATTAATTTTCCCATTGCGGATTAACAATTTCCACTCTTTTCCACTCGCACATTTCCCCCATTCCCCTTTGCGCGAAAGAGACCATATATGTGGCTTAGAGAGAGACGGGGCGAGATTTATGCATAATTTTCAATTTGTTAATGCAATGTGAAAAATTATATGTGTGTTTGGTTGAAGGCAAAGTTAAAAGTCACTCGGGAATCGAGTAAATATAAATTATAGAGAAAATTACATTAGATAATCCCCAAAATAAGTAAAAAATTCTGTATTCTTTTCGGTTGTGTGTTCAACTCTCGAGCACAATGTTTATACAAAGTTTATATTCTTAAAAAAACAAGTTTAAGTCCCACTTTGTATCTTTCATAGGATAGCTTTATTAAAAAAGGTTTAAAATTGTGGACAACTCTTTTTCGAAGGGATACATTACAGGGTAGTCCAAAAAACAGTTTCTACAAAATGTGAAATTGTCAAGATTGCGTTAGAAATGTATGATACAATTTTTTTCAAGGACCCAAAAATCCGAAATTTCCCACAGCCTCAATTTGCCTCGAGTGTTTGCCTCAGTCAAGTGTCTCTCTCACTTTTCTCACTTTACTGGGTGTTTTCGTTTGTTTGTTTATTTGTCAGGCGGGGGCGTCAAAGTGGGCGTGTGCCGATGGCCAGCGGCTGCAATTTTCCCACATCAATTAGTTTGCCCGGCGAGCAATGAATAAATTATGCGGGGGTGCTTTCGGGATGGAATATATACGTTCGAATATACGTGTTTCTGGGTGGGGATCTCTGGACCCACAACAAGTGCAAAAAGTCACGCGCTGTTGTTGCTGGCAAATAGAGAGAGGAAAAGTTACATCAACAGCCGGCGGCGGCCAAAAAATTGACTCGATTATATTGTCACACGGAATCACTCCCCTTCCGCCCGAGCCACCCACAAAATTGAGCCGGAAAACCACCCACAGCCACCCACTTGTCCGCCCCTTGGGCGGAAAAGGCATCCCTTCTGGACCGGAGAATCGGAAAACCGGAGACAGGAGGACAACAATAAACAGCCCATAAAGCGGCACACTCGAGCGCAAGGAATTCACTTAGCCTTGTTTGTTATGCTTAAGGGGCTGCAAACAATCCGCTAAGTGCCAGCTCAGGCGGCTTGGCTACATTTTAGCCGAAATTAGGCATTTCATAGCCAGAAATGTGGGATGTTCATACAAGGTTTTTATGATTTTATTTTATGCGAGACAACTCTGGCAGCCCTGGTTTAAGAGAGTCAATTAAAAATAATATAAAAATCGAACTAAGCAATTCAACAATTCATTTAGCATTGATTTTAATTTTTCCATTAAGCAGTAAAACATATCGAAATAGTAAGTTTAGGAAAATGTTCAATACCCAAACAGTGTGGCAACTCTGATCGCCACAAATCAAAGCACAAACAGTGCTGCCAAGCAGTCGCACAGCAGAGCAAAAGCAAAAGCAAAAGCAGGGAAAAGCAGTCGAGCAGGCCGACGACTGCATGGCAAATGTTATTTCAGTGATTTGTTGTTTGGGGTTGGTGTTGCTTGCTAATGGCTTGTGCTTTGGTAAACAGCTGAATTTATTACCGCTCCCCCACTCGACCCAGCCACCCACTGCCACCCCACCCTTTCACGAAAATTCCCTCGCCCCTTTTTTGAAGTTAACACTTGCCACGCGGCTGCGGCCACTCGAGCATTTCATTGCCGTTTCATTATTTTTTCAATGTGGAGTATGGGTACGAACCTTTCTGGCAGCAAAAAAGGGGGACTCGACCCAGTAAAAAAGAGCATCAAACAAGGCGTATCAAATTTCATTATTTGTCAGCGCACCCCCTCCAAACTCGAAACTCGAAATTCAATTTCAATTTTCAATTCCATTTTGCATTCGCAAATCCCCTTTTGTGATTTGACTTCGCCCGCTCTGATTTCCAATTTTCTTTGATTCCGTTTAATGAACTGCTCGCAAATTTCATAATAATATTTTACAACACTAAGCTTGGGAATTTTTGCAAATTTTAGCAAAAATTTAGACAACATTTGGCAGTGTTTAAATGCGCCTTGGTTCGTCCTTCTAATGAACTTCAAAGGAAGCCGAGGGTGGGCTTCAAACTTCAAAGCGTTTTCTTTTTTAAATGTTTGGCTCGTTTGCGGTTTTACCTTGTTTTTCGATTTTGTGGTGGGGCAGGCGGGGTGGGAAGGAGCTTCGGATTTTGTACGCACATGATTTGCTTGAATGGCCACAAATTTGTAATATCGAAATTCAGGCTATGGTCGATTGATTCAATCGAGCCTAATGGCGGGGGAACAGTTTTAAAGGTGGAGATGTGGCGAAGAGAAAATGAATAACTGAAGTCGCTCAAGAATGTCTTCATTCCGAAAGAACCCATTTAAAGAAAACTTTCAGAAAGTTATCTTTAATTTTAAAAACATACAAATAAAAAATAAAAAGTTCCAATAATATTTTCAATATATCCGTGAAAAGCCACAAAACCTCTGCAAATATAAGAACAAGTTATTTTCTAATTCTATACAAAATGCAAAAAAAAATACCTTTTTAAATCGAAAAATTGTCACATCCTTACTATACATTTCCCGTCCTGCTTTCCAGGTGTGGTTCAAGAACCGCCGCGCCAAGTGCCGCCAGCAGTTGCAGCAGCAGCAGCAGTCGAACAGCCTGAGCAGCTCGAAGAACGCCAGCGGCGGCAGCGGCGGCGGCAGTTGCAGCAGCTCGTCGGCCAGCCGCAACAACAGCAACAGCGGCAACAACAACAACGGCAGCAGTAGCGGCCACAGCCACAACAACTCGCAGAGCTCCGGCGGCAGCAACAAGTCCAGCCAGAAGCAGGGCAACTCCCACTCCCACTCGCAGTCGAGCGGCGGCAACTCCTCCGGCGGCGGCAACAGCAACAACAACTCGGCAGCGGCAGCGGCAAGTGCAGCGGCCGCGGTGGCAGCCGCCCAATCGATCAAGACGCACCACAGTTCCTTTTTGAGCGCCGCCGCAGCGGCAGCCGTGGCCTCGGGCGGTACAAATCAGTCGGGGAACAACAACAACAGCAACAACAACAATGGCAACAACAGCCAAGGGGGCGGCAACTCAACGCCCAACAGCAGCAGCAGCGGCGGCGGCAGCCAAGCGGGCGGCCACCTATCCGCGGCGGCAGCAGCGGCGGCCCTCAACGTGACCGCCGCCCACCAGAACTCCTCGCCACTTCTGCCCACGCCGGCCACGTCGGTGAGTCCGGTGAGCATCGTCTGCAAAAAGGAGCACTTGTCCGGCGGCTATGTTGGCGGCGGCGGCGGCAACGGGGGTGGCGCCTCCTCCAGCGGCCTCAACCTGGGCGTGGGCGTGGGCGTCGGCGTGGGCGTGGGCGTCTCGCAGGATCTCCTTCGATCCCCCTACGATCAGCTCAAGGACGCCGGCGGCGACATTGGCGCCGGGGTGCACCACCATCACAGCATCTATGGCTCGGCGGCTGGGAGCAATCCCCGTCTGCTGCAGCCGGGCGGCAATATCACACCGATGGACAGCAGCAGCAGCATCACCACCCCATCGCCGCCCATCACCCCCATGTCGCCGCAGTCGGCGGCCGCTGCGGCCCACGCCGCCCAGTCGGCCCAGTCCGCCCACCACTCCGCCGCCCACTCGGCGGCCTACATGTCCAACCACGACTCCTACAACTTCTGGCACAACCAGTACCAGCAGTACCCCAACAACTACGCCCAGGCGCCCAGCTACTACTCGCAAATGGAGTACTTCAGCAATCAGAACCAGGTCAACTACAACATGGGCCACTCCGGCTACACGGCCTCCAACTTCGGCCTGTCGCCGTCCCCGTCCTTCACGGGCACCGTTTCGGCGCAGGCCTTCTCCCAGAACAGCCTGGACTACATGTCGCCGCAGGATAAGTACGCGAATATGGTGTAGAACCTACTCTTCCAGTACTGCAGCGGCAACTCGGGGGGCAATGGGAGTGGTTCGGGATCGGGATCGGGATCGGGATCGGGTTCGGGTTCAGGATCGGGGAGCAATAGTTCCCCCCAACTGGATCACAGCCACCAGCAGCATCCTCATCAGCAGCAGCAGAATCAGAATCAGAATCAGAACCATCATCATCACAATCACCACCATCCAGAACATCAACATCAGGATCAGCAGCTGGATCACTCCTTTGGCTAAGTGGGTGGAGAAGATCGCACAGCCCCACAGATACATATCTACACACCTATAGATACAGCACGGTCTGCTCTACCCCCGACACTCTGCTGCTTTCTCAGAACCTTTTCAAAGACAAGGCCCAGGGACATTCACTTCCTTTACGATCATACTTGGTAGCATGCTTACTGCTAAATAGACTTCAGTCCTACAGATTTCTAGAGACCTTTCAAGCTAGCAAGTTCATATATTCCTACTCGTCTGTCTGGTTAGATTCTTCTTGACTCGTATAAATTCATAGCAATGTATATGGTTTTTTATAATCACTAAATTTCATATGGTCTATCTAAGCCGTAAAATTCAAATAGATTTTAAAATTTACTGCATACTTACGTTCGTTTGAGTTATCTCCAGATAACTTAGCCAGCTTTTGAAGATTTCATTAGTTTCAAAATGATTTTTATAGATTCAAGAAGAATCTTAAAGAATAATCTCATAACATTCCAAAATTCCATTGGCAGTGCCAATCCCCACCAAATATGATCGGGAAAGGAAATCCCTCGCTGGGCCAAGTTACCATTTTTTTTTGTAGCTAACAAGAATTTTTTTTTAACATATACATAGTAAACCCCTAAACTAGAAGCGTGTGTAAAAAGCGGAGATTGAATAAAACGAGTTACAAGTTTATACAACCCAAAACATAAGCGTAAATCTAATACTAAACATAGGTATTATAGACCTAGCTTAAGCCGCCAGGATCAACGAAGAAAATGAGTGATAAAAAAAGGAAAACCCCATGACAAACATTTGTTAAATTTCCAATCCAAGGAGTAAATGCATGCGAAGGGTACGAGAAGAGGGCGTAATTTGTAAGTCGGAAGGAGAGTTTTTAAATGCAATACGTAGACCATTCCATGGTACAGCCAGGGGGGTTGGTGATCTCCAGAAAAAGGGGGCCTGGGGGTCGCCAGAAAAAACAAAGGAGAGGAGCTGCAGCACCATCGAGACAGCCCAGCATATCATAACGCTAAAACTTAATTCCAATTTCAAGTTCTTTAAACCAAACTAAGACATAGCATTACTAAAAACGAGAAAAGAAAAAAAGAAGTTTAAAGTTCAAATCATAATTTTGTCGTCTTTATATAACAAAACAAAGCAAAACAAAAAAATATTTATACATAATATATAAAAGATATATAGAGAATACAAACCCAAATCAGCTAAAACGAATTAACATTTCAGACTTTAAAAGCATATAATAAAGAATAGCGGAGGCCCAACTAAGGGAGTCCGAGAAAAAGGCAAAGTATTTAGCAACTAAGCGACTCGAAATGATAAAAACAAATGATAAAATCCCACACACGACGATTGATTGATATATATTATATATAGGAAATTTTATTGCAAATAAAAAACAAGCCACAATCCAAAAGCGAAACAAAAAACGACAGCAAGAAAATATTTATAAAATAATTTAACGTAACTTTTAAAAAATGTACAAACACCTAAAAAAAACATGGAAAATTCTTGGTAAATATATATATATATATTAATGATACATATGTGTGTGTGTAAATGTTCTTCATAAAGTACGATAAAAGAATTATAAATATATATAAATAAATAACGACAAACTTTTGTAATATTAAACCACACACGACGCAGACAGACACACAAGCAAAAGTTAGTTCAATGGAGTTTTTCTGGAATTTTTTGTTTAGTTTTAATTTCAATTTAATTGTAATTTAAGCTTAACAACTTGTTTAAAAAACACAATCACACACACACAAGAACCAACAAGAAACACACACACACAACAACACACTCATAAACAAAAAGCATGCAAGCAAATCGAAGAATATTTAGCATTTAATTCACTTAAACTAAGAACATTTTTTTTCCGCGGGATACACTTTAAGCGAAAAATGATGTAAGATGATCTGGAGGGGTGAGAAGGATAAACAAAATTAGTTATTAATATTTAAGAGCGGATCTATATACAGCATATATATAGTTATATATATGGTCCCTATATATATATTATATATAATTATATGCTAACGTTTAAGCAAACTGGTTAATTCTTTTTTTTTTTTAATTATAAAACCGAAAGAAAAACTAAAATAATTGTAAAAAGTTCACAAAAATATGATCAGATGAATAATATATATAAAGAAAAAAACATAAGCACGTCTTTTTATTTATTCGAACTTCTACAGCATCGTTGGCTTGGGTCGGCTGGAACACTGGAAGGAAAATTTATGGGAGCGAACAACTAGTTATAGGAACTTTATTTTATCTTGTAAATGTAAGAAGACAATTAAAACCCCAATTTTTTAATCATTACTAAGGATTATTCATTAATAATTTAATAACCATTTTTCTTAGCTCTAAATACTGGTGGATACAATTGGGCTGACTCATAGGTATGGTCGACCAATACACACCTGAGTTGCTCGGAATAAATAACTCTGAGTCGTCAGTCCGCGGAATTCGGCTGGGCAAACAAAACCCGATCCTCGACGGCTACCAGAACATTCCGATGGCGGTCCGAAGCCAATCACTTCTGATTCTGATTTTTCAGTGGCCGTGGCTGTTTGTTTGCACTCGCACATTTATTGGCAGCCGTGGGGCACGCGTCTGCTGATCCCGAGTCCCGAACCCCCAACCCACCGAACCCCGAACCCAAAAAAGCCCTTCGAATTGAGGCAACCTCCACTGCCATTCCCATTCCTACTCCAATTCCCATTTGCAGCGAATCGGGCGAGGCAGGGCGAGCCGAGTCAGCCATCATCATCATAAACCATTAATTCAGATCATAAAACTTGCCACGCCCCGACCCACGGCTACACTCAACGAAATGGGCATTGGATGGGAAAGTATATACGATTTAAGAGAACTCAGTGGGTTCAGCGAACCTCAAAATACCACACTTACCGTCGGGGCTTCAATCAAACAAATAAGTTGATCTCGACTTTTTCATTTGATGAATTGGAATTAATATGAAGGGCAGCCTTAAAAACTTTCAGAAATTATATATTAAACTAGGAAGTAATTAACTTTATTTTTCATTAAAACTCACTAGAAAACTGAGAACTTATATATGTCATTTTACAAATGCTACAAGTAATGCATTATGCAATACATTTTTTAAGCTTAAGGTTAAAAAATGTTCACAATGAAAAACATAAGCAAATAATAAAGTATAGTAAAATTAGAGCTTCCATCCTAGCAACATATATCGCATTCCGTGCCGATGCACTATTATATTATTTACGTGCCTTTATAAACTTATGTTCCTAAGATAACGGTTCCTCATTGTCCAGAGTTAACCCCTGTGAAGTGGAATAGCGCTTTTATATTCCCTGCCATAAATATCTCGGGTTTTCCTTTTAACGAGCCCACTTCAGAGTTAATCTACGTCGACCGCTGCCGCTTGTTATTTGCGATTAATTATGCTAATGAAAATGCTGGGAAATTCATTTGCCATTTGCGGCTAATTGTCGCACCAGCTGGCGGCACGTGCTGCGGCTCAATCAGATTGCGAATCGGATACGCCGGTGAGATAGAGGGCTATCCTATAGAGGACTATATGGCCTGTCCTATCTGGGCGATCCATCGATTCCCAAACTTCTCGGATGGCGGACCCCCCATTTTCGTACCAGTTCTATTCCATTTCGCGTGTTATCTGCCGAGACACGCGACCCATTTCGTTTCTTTCTTATTTTGCTTTCCCCATCCATTTCCATTTCCATTTCCATTTCAATTTTCACCGGCAGAAGAACGGAGACCCGAACCCCGGACCCCGAATAGCAATGGCAATCCATCTCCATCGGCAGTCGTCGTCATCAATGGGCGCGTGTTGCTTATAGAATTACCAACTAATTCGGTATTTATGAGGCTTCGTCGAGTGCATTTTGCTGGTCTAGGAATCGCTGTTGGTTGGGTTTCGTTTGGGTCTCGGTGTTTCTTGGTTTGGCTGGGTTTCGCTGGGTTTGGCTGGGTTTGGCTGGGTTTGGGGACCCCGGAGGAAGCCAGCAAATTGAGATGCTACCCCCGGCAGGAAATTGTTTTTAATCTTCCGCTGCGCCTTTTAGCGGCACGTTAATGCGAACGTAACCCCCAGCGAAGAGCGGCGCTAAAATAAAATAGCATCCAGTCATTATTTTCCTTTTCAGCCCATTTTCGGGGTTGCTTTAACTGGGTCCTGATTTTCCGAACCGAAGCGATAAGGTGTTTGGCCCGGCCCAAAAGACTGCCAATCTTAACGTTGCTTTTAATTGATTTGTTAACCTTCAGTTAAAAAATGTTGTCTTGGAAAATACACCGGGTAAATTATAATTGGGTGATGATAATCACAAATATTTAATAATACTTGCATATCTTAAAGGTATTATTATCAGTAAGCGAAAAAAATATTTAAAAAATTTTAAAAATATAAGGTATGTTAAATTAATTAGGTTTATCAAAACGGAATACATCTCTAGCATCTCTCTCAAAGAACAACCGCCGTTTCACCGATATTCGTTACCCTCTGCACTTTGCACTCCCCAAAATGTATTGGAGTGGACCACTTTTGTTGTTGATTAGCGGTTGCCTGCCGGTGGTCGATTTGTCAGCCGCCACGTGACCTGCTCCCTCGTCTGATTAAAGGCCACTGGAGTCCACGAAATCCAGATGCCAATCCCGATCCTTCGATGATGCTGGTGATGCTGGTGATGAGGAGTCCTTATCCATACCGCCCGTCAATGTTTTCATCTTTCACGCTGGGCGACGGCGGCTGTCTTTTCGGCATTTTATCAACTTAATTTCTGGCTAATGGAGAGTCATGTGAACCATGTGAACCATTTAAACCACCCCA